AAACATTTTGCGAAAATATTTATTGTTGGGTTACGGTAGCACTCGTTTGCCGGCTGTGTTTTCGAAATTTCTCCTTGAAATACGGTGGCCTAACTTGGTGAAAATTCGGCCACAACTCCAATTTTTTTGCACAAGAATAATAATGCTAGTACCCTTATACAGAAAAAAAGAATACAAAAAAAATTCTCATAAAATTATCATATTTTTTGTTTCCATGTGTGGGCGTAGTTTACCCTGACTCCACCCCCTTGAACAATATGCAAATTTTAGTATCCCTTATTTTTGGCCTATAAAAAGAGCCTCTTTTGATATCGAAATAGCATTCGGAAGATTTCAAAAATGAAATCTGCTATTCTATTCATTTTCTTCTTCATTTTCGGATGTTTTTCTCAAGGAATTCCACATCTGAAAGTGGGAAATCAAGAATCGAAAGCATTGGAAATCGGAAAGAGACATGTGAAATTATTTTTGGATTCGATAAAAAATAAAAATGAAAAAATGATTGAGAAGTTGTTCAACACAACGGGAGGTGAGGTTTGAAACTGTCGATAAAGGGGTACTGTAGATAACGAGGTACTGTAGCTGATGGGATCACTGTAGCTGACAGTGTAGGATACCGTATGTAGGATAAAAAGGATTACTGTAGAAATAGAGACCCCAAGAGTTAGAGCTAGCAAGTATTACAGTAGTATTGAAAACTTATGCAATTTCCATTAGGTTGGCTAAATAATAATGCGCGTTTTTATGATTAATTAAATTTATCATAAAAACGGAAGTAGACAATATTAATCCGAAAGCTATTTGCCATGATTATCAATTACTTGTCGCTAACATCCGCGCTAAGAATGGGTTTCGCTGTGGAAGAACTCCACTGGCTGTGACTCAAAAGTAGGCGACTACACATTTTTCGGTCTCATCCCGGCTTTCGCAGTGGTTCTCGGCTAATGAGGGTCGCATAGATCTGAATGAGGGGAAATCGGAAGGCGCAAAATCGGGGCTATTTGGCGGATGAGGAAGGAAGAACGGATGAGGAAGATACCGTCCCTGGGAATTACTGTAGTTTGGAAATATTACTGTAGAAAATCCAAAATTTTCTTTCAGCCGACCAAATGCATATTCCGACGCTCATTGATATGCTTCAAGGATTCGATATCTCTGTGGAATCTGCGAATTTCAATAAAAAAGGAGAAATTAATGCGAATTTGAGAGTGGATGGAATTGTTCCAGGAGTCATTATTCTCACAAAAGTATCGATTTTCTGAAATTCTTTTAAAAATTCTGAAATTTCAGACTCCCAACAGTCCAACAGGATATCAAATCAGTGCTCTTGGATTTAAAACTCCAAGAGGAACATCACATTTGGAATTCACAATGTGCTTCATTGGATTGTTCTGGTGTGCAATCGAATATACCATTAAATGGCTGGATTCTTATAAAATTTGAATTTTTTTAAATACATTTTTTTTATTCGGGAAAGTCTCAAAATATGAAATTTTCAAAAAATGCTGAAAAATCCAAAAATTCAGAAATTCAGAAATTCAGAAATTCAGAAATTCAGAAATTCAGAAATTCACAAATTCACAAATTCACAAATTCACAAATTCACAAATTTCAGAAATACAGAAATTTACAAAATTCAGAAATTCAGAAATTCAGAAATTCTGAAATTCAGAAATTCAGAAATTCAGAAATTCTGAAATTCAGAAATTCAGAAATTCAGAAATTCAGAAATTCAGAAATTCAGAAATTCAGAAATTCAGAAATTCAGAAATTCAGAAATTCAGAAATTCAGAAATTCAGAAATTCACAAATTCACAAATTCAGAAATTCAGAAGTTCGGAAATTCAGAAATTCAGAAATTCACAAATTCACAAATTTCAGAAATTCAGAAATTCAGAAATTCAGAAATCAGAAATTCACAAATTCACAAATTTCAGAAATACAGAAATTTACAAAATTCAGAAATTCAGAAATTCAGAAATTCTGAAATTCAGAAATTCAGAAATTCAGAAATTCACAAATTTCAGAAATACAGAAATTTACAAAATTCAGAAATTCAGAAATTCAGAAATTCTGAAATTCAGAAATTCAGAAATTCAGAAATTCAGAAATTCAGAAATTCAGAAATTCAGAAATTCAGAAATTCAGAAATTCAGAAATTCAGAAATTCAGAAATTCAGAAATTCAGAAGTTCGGAAATTCAGAAATTCAGAAATTCACAAATTCACAAATTTCAGAAATACAGAAATTCAGAAATTCACAAATTCACAAATTCACAAATTTCAGAAATACAGAAATTCAGAAATTCAGAAATTCAGAAATTCAGAAATTCAGAAATTCAGAAATTCAGAATTTCAGAAATACAGAAATTCAGAAATTCAGAAATTCAGAAATCAGAAATTCACAAATTTCAGAA